TTCCCCTGGTTTCACAATCCTTCCTAGACTAAAATGCATGTTTTAACTGAAAGCAACTTGCACTTGCATATCTTAAAGGGATACTCCACTTTTTGGGGGGAAATAGGCTCATTTTATAACTCCCCTAGAGTTAAACAGTTGAGATTTACTGTTTTCGAATGTATTCAGCCAATTGTCTGATATTTAGAAGAATATCAGTAACCAGACAGTTTCTGGTCTCATTGACTTCCATAGTATTTTTTTTTTCTACTATGGAAGTCAATGAGACCAGAAACTGTCTGGTTCATTTTTACAGTGTATAGGTCTGTAAAAAATGTTTGGCCAAATTCGCCAAAACTCCTATATCGTAACACTAGCAAAATTCCTATAGCGTTGCACTACCACCTCACAAATAAGCATTTTAAATCATTCATGGCATCAGTAATTCATCAAATAATGATTAAATGATGGAGAAGAGCACCATTACCAGAATTAATGCAGATGCGGTGTGTAGTCAATAACTTTCAGCAATTTAAAGAGCCCATTCAAGTGCCTGAAGTGATAACGCAAACGCACAATTCCAGATAAATAAGTAGTCTGAGTTATCTTCCACAAACAAGAAATCAGAACCAGCTTACCAGATGGGCAATAACACCATGCAAGTACATTTCATTCTTAGTTCCCCAGTATGATTTACCCACCTGATGTAAGTCGAACCACCAGAGAGCTGACCGAAAAAGTGTGAAAGGCCATGTTATTGTAGACTGAGAGCTTACTTAAACATAGCGTCTCCAGAGCCTCAAGCATTACTTGGAAGATAAGCTGAGAGGGCCACAGAGAAAACAAGGTATGTTCTCTAGTTTCCCAGTCATTTTGTTGAGAAATGCTTACTTTAAGGAGCATTATTTTGCTTTATCTTGGACTCTGACTCTCCCACTGAGACTTAACTGTTCTTTGTGGTAGAAGTTCTGAGCATATTACAGTGCCCTTCCAGTCATTGTGAAAGTTTACACAGACAGCCCTGGACTGTGTGAGCAGGAAAACTTTTAAAGCACCACACAGAGAAATGAAACAGCTAGCCTGTCTCAAGCAGCATTCCTCCGGACCTCAGCAGTTCACACTGATCTGTCAAACACTGTCTCCTCAAGTCAGCCCAGACTATGTACTACATTCAAAATAGCCATCTTTTAAAAGCCCACACCGCTCTTTCCGCTATTTTTTTTGCTCTAAAAACAGTGTTTCCCTTTCGTAGTCACTTCGAGTTACGTCAGAAGTGACGGAGATTGGGGGTTTCGCATAGAAAGCCAATCCTCTTCGAGTATTTAAACACGAGCCAATGGCATGCAATGCCTTGGGGCTGCGGAAATTTGCATAGCGTACTCCGCCCTACTCCGTGAGTATAAAAGGAGGAAGTGAACGCAACCGCAGTATGTTTTCGCTTCGGAGCCAAGAGAACCTCTTCACTCCTGAAAGCTATTACAAGACTCTTCGAGACGAGCGTCCTCTTCAGTGTTGGTGTGACGGCGGTACCCAGCGAGTTTCTGCATTGCCTGCGATCTGTGCAGTGGTCTGCCAGACTTTGCGCTTCTCCCTGGTCGCCTCAGCGCTGAAAGAGTGAATTTCCTCCTCTCTGTAAAAGAGCTACACGCGGCACGTCTTTTTAAAGACGGTTCGCCCGTGTTCTTCTGGATGCGGTCGATTTTCTGTCGTCATCTGATGGTCGCGATCGCTGCTCTGTATGCCTGGGCATTCAGCATGCAGCAGCAGCGTTCGTGGATGACTCATGTTCCTGCTATGGGGACATGACCATCTCCACACTGAGGTTAAAAAAAAAAAAAAAGAGAATATATATATATATATAAAAAAATTATATTTTATATATAGAATATAATATTT